TACTATCTCATTCATACACACACACACACACACACACACACACACATGTCTCATTCAGATATATAGATATAGATATATATGAAAGTTTTATATTTTTAAGATTGTCTGTGCTTGGCTCTAACAGGAGTAAAAGAAACCCATTACTTCTCATCAGTTTCACCTTTCCATGTTTTCCCATACATAATTCCATTCAGTTTCCATATTTCTTACAAGCAGAGAATATATATATATATGTATTTTGAAATAGTCAAGAACTGTGTTTCAGATATTCCATGGAAAACTAAGTCCAGGTCTGTATATTCAACTGAAAGCTATCAGTCATCCCATTAAGAAATTAGTAAAAATTTGAACTCCTCAAACTTCATTCAGGGTGGTTGCCAAAAAGCAGTAATTCTGGCTTTTCATGATATGCAAACAGGGGCCTCTGATTCTAAAATACTACTGGAAAAGACTGCTTTACAGTGTAATCTTATACAAGTACTCTAAAATATATTCCTTTATATTCAGTGGCATTGACATGCAGGATTGCAGCCCTAATATTCCTTCATGTTTGTGTTTGTTCAGAAGGGTGCATGAATTGCTACTACCAGTAACTCTGTCTTGCAAGGATGAAGTCACATTGTACTAACAAAAACAGGATATGTGTATCTAACAATGTGAATATGATAATAAAGTATAATTATATAAGCAGTCCTGAGAAAGCAATCCAATAAAACAGTGGAATTTTGGTTCATACAGGATAAGGATAATGTATCTGATCCACAACCGGATGACCCTGGGACAAATATTACAGTCATACAACATATAAACATGTAATCAATATTGTTATCTGACCAACAATTGCGGTTCTTAATTGGGACATGTGTTTCAGATGTAGCAGAGGAGAAAACTTTGTGAGACTTTGAATTGGATCATTGTGTTTAAAAATAGAACAGTTTTTTCATGTATGTGGTTCTTAACCACATCACATCTATCTCTTTTTGTTGTTGTTGTTGTGAAAAACTAAAACATGAAATAAAAATGTGAAGCTCATTACTGTAATTAAGAATGGGAGGAAATATACTGGCTTATATTTGAAACTTCTGATAATTTTGGTTTGCATCGCTGCTGGCTTGCATCAGAAAATCAGATAGGATTGTAAGTCAGTCTAACCATGATTTTTGCCTCAAGGCTTGGTTTTCCCCATTTCTGAGGAACATGTGCAGAACATTTTTACTGCATTATTGACTGCTTGGGTAGTAGCTATTTTTTAAAAAATGCATTTTTATTCTTTTTTCCTATTTATTCCTAGGTTCTTGGAAGAAGAGACCTCCAAATGGCTAGACCTCTTTGAAGGCAGTGGAGTTCCATATGGTCCAATCAACAGCATGAAGCAGGTGTTCTCAGATCCTCAGGTCAGTTACCTTGGAAACACTTTTACATATGTTTTTTCAAATGTTCAATTTACCCAATGTTACTTTAATTACTATCACTGCTACTATTAATTATGTAATCAATTTCATACATATCCCATCTTTTCTCTGAGAACTCAGAGCAGCCTACTTTTATTCCCTCAACAACCTTGTGATATAGGTTGGGCTGAGAGCAAATGACTATTATAAAGTCACCAGATGATCTTTGTGGTTGAGCGGAGACATGAATTGTGGTCTCCCCAGTCCAAATCCAACATCACTTTGGTGGTAGGACAGTAAATAAATAACTTACTATAGGCATTGTCCAAGTCAAATTTTAGAAAAATAAAAATTTTCTGAAAAAAAGCCAACACTTTTATTTGTATCATAGGGTAGTCTGTTAGGTCTTAAACCACATTCTGATGATGTTTCGTTCAGGTCTTTGCATTATAAACATTAGGCTGACTGGTCTTGTTCAAGTCTGGGCTTGCCATTCTAAATCCAGTAATGCAATCTAGAGTGTTTAAATTTGCTGGCTGTTGGCTTCGATGATTCATAATGCTAGACATATAAAATGTAGTTACTTTTGCAGTTAACTCTATTTGAAAAGGTCAAGTTTAAATATATTAATGTATTTATAATGGACAAAAGTAAGATCTTTATCGATGGAGATCTCACAAATAGGAGTAATGAAACAGAGATTCTCATTAATACTTTCATTTTACCTAAAATACTATTGATAAATATACTTTCATACTTGAAAAGCTTAGCCTCTTTTTTTCTTGATGAGTTTCATTTGATGTTGCTGCTAATTTTTAAGTTTTAATGACAGGAGGCTGCATTTTTAGAGATTAAATGAACAAAATTTTTATTTGTCTCTTATCATTCATCCCTCAATTGTTAACATTGTTTACATTAATAAGAAAGCATTGATACAATATTTTCTCTTTTATATCTTGAGATGTGACCCATACTACTAAGAATATCTCACAAAACCTGTTGGATATGTTGTTCTGAAACCAGGAACTTTGTTAACTATGTTGTCTTCAAATTACTCAGATCTATATTTAGCAGCAATTGCTTTTTAATGTGAATATTTTATTGACAACTTACCAGCCACAGTAAATAGTAAGAACTAAAGCAAAAAATAGAGGCACCTTTAAGCTAAATAAAAACTCCTCTGCCTGCATTCAGAACAGAACAAAGAAATGCATAATAGAGAAAAAAGTCAGTAATACATTAGAATTGTTGTAGAATAAGGATTCCACAGCCAATAAACAGAAGATGCTAAACATTAAAGAGAAAAAAAATATATTGCTACCATACTGTAGAGCCTGCCCTACAAGACAGGTGACAGTGATTAAAAGTTACAGTGTTTGTAATTTCTAAGACAAGCATAACATGATGCTTTTTTAAAAAAAATTGGCTACATATATGTTATTACCTTATATAGCAAAGCATTACCTTGTTGCAACACATACACTCCCCAAATAGTCATTAAGAAGCTGAGTTGTTGTTGTAAAAATGCTGAATTGTCCTTTTTTTCCTATTTTGAAGCCCCCTGGACATGTATACTGAATTTGTAGCAGTTGTTTTTGTGTGTGTGACATGCTTGTCTGGAGGGCCTTCATTGGTTAGAATTTATTTCTATAAAATGGGAGGTGCCGCCTCATCATTTATGGGAAGAGGGAATACAGTGAGAACCTTGCCTGCATGAGTAAGAAAGCCAATTTTCCCACATTGTAACTTCCCAGATATTTAAGCCTCAAATTTTGAACACTGATATGCAGGTAATTTTACAAGTATTTATATCTACTGTGATGATAAGGCAGTGATTAATTATGTGTGCAACAGGCTGAAAAGGTGAATATTTATAACTTTGTGAAAGGTGAAATTTAAATATTATACTGGGTAAAATTTAAATATTATACTGGGAGTAAGGCAGCTTCTTTCAGGGACTTATACTGTAATGATGACATACTTTATGTATTGGTTTTACTTATCACTCACTCAACTTCTAAATTTATGATAAGGGCCCTGAATTCCTTCAGTATTTTCAATCTACCCTCTCTCCCCCTTTCCACCACTTGATATTCTCCATCATTAGGCCTTTTTCACACCCTAATATTTTCTGTGATTCGTGATATGATAAGGCCACATCTGTTCACTGAGAGAGGAAAACATATGCCCACCAGATAGTCCAAATGAAATAACCACATTTGTATGGATTGTAATTTGAAGTAAAATTGTCTCTTTATATTAGATAACACACACATACACACATATGCCTGCCCAGTGGGAAATCTGTCCTATGGTAATTAAACTGTATAACATGAAATACAATAAAAATAAAATTAAAAATCCACAAGTAAACACAGTTAACAATTTAAGCAGTCATAGAAAAAGGGAAACCAAATTACTAACAGTGGAGGCCTTCTTAGATGTGACAGTTTCCAGAAGTTGGGAAGGACAGGACTAAATTTTTCTACCCTGGGAGAGAGGGGTAATGTTTGGTTACTACCTAACATAAGCAACCATCTACAATAACCACTTCAGGTAGCAAGACAAAGACAAAATGCTTTCACATCACTTACATGAATATGTATTCTGTGGGTTGCATCCAGATTAAGTTAGCAATGCTTTAATTAGAAAGAAGTAAAATTTAGTAGAGTATGCTTTCTTCCAATCCATTTTTTAAAATTAAGAAATGACATATAGAAGTTGCTATAACTTTCTGTTGAGATCACATACTCAAAAGAATTGATCTGACTTTCAAATGAGTTTAGGCGTTCAAAGTGGAGCTACCACACTTTAATGGCAGATTTGATTAAGCAGAAAGTAATTAGTTATATTTAAATATTTAAAGTATTTGGTTTTCTGACAGATGTTTAGTTTCTTGATTGGCAATAGCAAAACAATGAAAAATGAATGGATCTGGAACATATGCAAAATGTACTTTTTGATTCCCTTGCATACTGTTAACATATATCTACATATATTTATTAGTATAAGGCGTGGTTTTCTAGCCCATTTGATATCTCACCATTTAAAAGAAAAGTCTCCCTTGAGTTAAGCTTAGTTCCTGATATTCATGTTGTTATTGGGTTTAATTTTGGAAGGGATTTGGGAAATGATTGCAAGACTTAAAGGAGTAGAATAATGACGCTTACTGTTTCTTAGTTCAGTTCTGAGTCACTAGGACTTTTCCCTGAGACTGCTTGGATGTTTGCCTCCTTGCTCCATTTCTGTCTTTTGTCTCTGCAACTAAGTTTACTATCAGAAGGTAGCACACTTAAATCCAAGAGCAATATCTTGTTCATTTTTTCTGTTTGTTTTAGAGCTCTGTCTTACCCCAGGTTTTAATTTTTCTCTTTTGAAGCTTGGAGAGAAGCAAAATTCTCAGTGTTTATTTTTTAAAAAGCAATACTTTCTGTTTTATATTCTCGGAACGTGTCAGAGATAGACAAGTATCTAGTGAGAGAATCACAAACGGTGTAATGTTCCTTACATCATCGTAACATTACTTCTTTCCTGTTGAAGCTTTACAGGAAAAAAGGACTTTGTGGTAGTGAAAATGTCAGCTATAAATTGTGTTTGTGTATATGCAAGTGATAATTGAAAACTCAAGAAAAACTAAAGAACCAGGTAACTGGCTCTGATCATTCTTGCACATAAAAGTGAAAAAGGGAAAAAACAACAACAACCAAATCCAAATAGTTCATCCTTGCAGATGGAAAGCTGAATGAAAAGAAGGCAATTTATGCTTTTGTTCTTCAAGCACTGGAATTTCATGTAATTGTATTGTGTAGGGAATATTTTCCAAGTGCAGAACCCAACGTCCATCCTAAAGTAGTACAATAC